GCAGCGCCGGATTGGCCGTTTTAATTAAGCGTCGAAGACACTTGGCTGCGTGTGAACTCTGCCGGGGGGCGAGCGCCTACACGACCGTAGGTCGGTCTCGGACGGGCCGGGCGCGCGGTACACGCAACTGTAGCTCGGGGCCGGGTGCGCACACGAAAGAAGTGCACGAAACCTCTTCTCTCTTTTTAGGTGGTAGTAGATATATACGTAGGACCGACCTAAGATAAAACTTGTACTCCCTCCATTGAGAAAATAATACAATTATGAAATTCGGGCCGGTTAAATTAACTCAATTTTGATCGAGTGTTTAGGAAATTATATTAGTATTTATGTCTCCAAATATATTTATTATAAAAATATATTCTATAACTAATTTAATAATACTTATTTTGTATCAAGAATGTTAATGTTTATTTATATAATTTTAGTCAAAGTTTAACATGTTTTACTTTTCAAAAAACGAGAAATGCATTCCTTCGTGGCGGAGTACTCTATGGATTGGATTATACTTGGCCATACAGCACGAGGCATGACACGAAGCACGAAAAAAAAGCCCGACACGAACCCGGCATGGCCCGATGAAACTCGAGCACTGGGTGGGCCGACCGACGCCGCTTGCTCAGGCGTGCTTAGGTGACCCCCAAACCCGTGAGGGCCAAGACGCGCCCAAGACGAGAAATTGAGGGAGGCCCGACAATGGCTCGAGGCAGCCCCCCCCCAATGGCTACCGCCATCGCCATTTTAACGGCTATTTTGGCCCATCATCAGCCCACACTCGGCCCCTCCCTTCATATATAAAGGACACGTCACGGCCGCCCGCCGCCCCCTCTCCTCACCTAACCCTAATCGGCTAATCCATTCGACTCCACCCGCCGCGCAGTGCCCACACCGCTCTCGTCTTTGCCTCGCCTTCACCGCGCCGCCATCTCCTCGGCGTCCAACCTCATCGACTCCGGTGACCTTGATCTGCCTTCCGTCGTTGGCCAACCTTTTCCTTCTCCTCCCAGATCTCCTTCCTCTCCCCCTCTCCCTTCTCCTCTTGGTGATATGTGAGTTTGTGTTCCTGTCAGTGTCATCCCTCCTCCGCCGCTCACCGTCCTTGCTAACGGTCTGTCGTCATCTTCTCTGCGGGGGTCGTCGTCTTCTCCGACATCGGGTTCCGGTTGCGCAGGTAAACCCTAACCCTAACCCTAGCATCTTCTTTCTTGATCTGATTCTATCATCTGATGTGTTTCTTGATATGCAGGTCGGTAGCCGATGCTTCCTCTTCTAGCTGCGGCGTAGAGCGAGCTCGGCGGCCACCCACACTGTCGAGGAACGAGGCCGGAGCGGTCACTGCCATGGCGGATGATGATGCCATCCTATCGGGCATGGCCCTCGAGGGCGAGGACGATGGCGACCTCCGAGAGGACGTAGCTGCCTTATTCGGTGTCGATCTCGGAGCCAGCCAGGCTCCGATCGATTTGGACGGCGGCGGTGGTGAAGGGGCGACGACGGCTGGGACTGGCTCCAACACCAACAGCTCTGCTCCATCTGTTTATGGTAATGCAACCAGAGTTGGTAAGCGCAAATCTCCTATCTGGGCTGACTTTGATGAGATCTATGAGGATGTGAACGGCAGTAGAATTTGCACTAAAGCTGTTTGCAAAATGTGTAAGGCTACTTTGTCTGCTATATCTGTTTCTGGAACTGGGCACTTGAAGAGGCACCAAAAATCATGTATGGAAAAAATTAATCGACGTGTTGCTGTTCAGTCTAGGCTTGCGCTTAATCCTGATGGTTTGCGCAACTAGGACTATAAACCTGATGTAGCTAGACAGGAGCTGTGTCGCTTGATTGCTAGGCTTGATTTTCCCTTAGGTATTGGTGACACTGATGCATGGGAGGAGTACATTCAACGTGCTCATAACCCTATTTTTACTAGGGTCTCCCGGCAGGCCACCACTAGAGACCTAAGTAAGTTATTCACTGAACGTCGTAATATGCATAAGAATCATATTTTGCGTGGTGCTTCATCTGTTGGTTTGACATCTGACATTTGGTCTGGTAATGCTAAGGAGGACTACATCGGTGTAGTTGCTCATTTTGTGAGTGCTGACTAGGAGCTACAGAAAAAGGTAATTAGGTTGAGATTGATTGAGGTGAAGCATACTGGTCAGAACATTGCTGAAAAAATTAGTTCTGTGATTGAGGAATTTGGTTTGATTGACAAGATCTTTTCTGTTACTCTAGATAATGCTTCTTCTAATGCAAAAGCAATAAAAACTTTGACACCTTTGTTTGCAGGATACTTTGGTTCTGATCCAGCCCCTACACCTTCTGATCTAATAAAAGAACTTATCACCTTGTTCATCAACATTGTGCTTGTCATATCATAAATTTGATTGTTAAATCTGGTTTAAAGAGGTTCAAACCTTACACAGAAGATTTTAGAACTACTATTAATTTCTTAAATTCTTCTAATAATAAAATTGCCATGTTTAAGAACTACTGCAATGCTCAAGGTTTAAGACCTAGGAAGTTTGATTTTGATATGGATGTTAGATGTAATGCTACATACCTTATGCTTAAACACCTGCTGCCATATAAGAAAGTTTTTTCTGTGTTCATTAATGTTAATTTTGGGGCTGAATTGTTAACTCCAAGGTATTGGCATATAGCTGCAAAGGTATTGGAATTCCTGAAAGTATTTTATGAATCAACTGTTATTCTTTCTGGTGTGTACTATCCAACTAGCCCTCTTGTTTTGCATCATCTGCTTGAGATTTCTGCTCATTTGCATGAAAGTGAAAAGGGTCAAAATCTGATAGATGTTGTGTATCCGATGAAACTAAAATTTCTTAAATACTAGGAAAATATACCTCTGTTATATTCATTTGCTTTCATTCTTGATCCAAGAGCTAAGATGAGAGGTCTGTTTAATGTCCTGGTAATTCTAAAAGAAAATCTTGGTGTTGATTATAGTTCATATTATGCTTCTGTTAAAACTGAACTTTATAAGTTGTTTGCCAAGTATGACAACAAGTTTGGTGCAGCTAAGAATAGAAGGGTTACATATCTTGCAGGCCAAACTGGTAAGAGAAAATAGGCTTGGGGAAGAATATTTGGAGGGCCTGGAGCCTCTGGTGTTATTGGTCCATCCCCTACCTCAACTTCATCTGCTGCATCTGTTGGTTGTGAGCTCACAGCTTACCTGGACAGTGATAATGTCACTGCATATGAAAATGACTTTGATTTGCTTCTCTGGTGGCGTGACCACAAACTAACATTTTCTGTTTTATCTATAATGGCAAAAGATATAATATATGTTCCAGTGTCTACTGTGTCTTCAGAATCATGCTTCATCTTGACAGGAAGGATACTTGAAGAGCGACGCCAACACTTGTTGCCAGAACATATGGAGATGCTTGCTTGCATCAAGGATTGGGAGTTGGGAGAACGAAGACTGCAGCATTCAACAGACAACCAAGAGTTGGCAAGCTACTTCGAGCATCAATATCTTGATGAAGAAATTCAGAGTGCATTTGGGGCTCCTTCGGCTGGTACATTAGTGGCTTCTACATCTATTTCTGCTGGTATTTAGTGTTATCGTTCTGAGAGAGTTGAGAGATGAGAGATGAGAGTGAGTTGAGAACTTTGAGATTGAGAGGAGAGATGAGAGTTGAGATGAAACTGAGAGTGATATTTGTATATGAACTTTGAACTTATTGTTATAAGAGCTGTGCTGTATTTTTTTTTCTTTTTAGGGTTTCTCACAAGGGTGAGTTTTACCTAGAAAGATTTTTAATGAGACAGCATTGCACATAGCTCAATTATCTTTTTAAGTCTTATTTGTGCATTGTTATTTTATGATTATGGGTTGTGAATCTGTTAAGATACTTCATACTTGTGAGTTGTGACCGGTCACTGGTCAATGGTCTAGTTGTTAATTGTTATCTTTGAATCCAGTCTAGTTGTGAACTTGTGATTGTGAGTTGTGATTGTGAATCTGTGATCTCTTATCCTTTATGTTTTCCGTGAAATTTGATTCCAAATTTGAAAACTGAAGTTAGAGCTGAATTTGCTGGTGTGATTACAGAATTGCGGGCTATGGTCGGGCACGGCCGATATTTTTCTTGGTCGGGTCGGTCGGGCCGGCACATGTACCGAAAATCAGCCCGCAGACCCCGTGCTTTGGGCTGAATGCCAGCACGAGGTTCCTGAAGTGACGTGCGCGCCGCATGCACGACGTGACGTGCCGTGCCGAGAGAGTTGTGGGCCATGCTGCGCCGTGTCCGGCCGCCCAATGGCCATATATAGATGAGACTCTATATAGATTGGATACTGCTCGCAACGGTGCCCCTGGTTTTACGAGAGAAAACCGATCTAGTTGTCCATGAACGCGATAACTATGCCGTCACCCATATTTAAATCAGCAACTGCATCATCCTATACACTGCTCACGCGTCCGTTGGATCGCACGGAAGGAGCGTAACTGGCTCCCCGCGCCGCACGGATCGCCCAGCCCCCTCGCGGCCTTTTCGCACACCAACCCACCCGTTCGCACGCACGCGAAGAAGGCGAACCGGATAACCCCGCGCCCGCGCCGTACACCGCCGCTGTGCGACACGGAGAACAGAAAAAAAAAAGGAGGGGAGCGGAGCGAGGCAGGGCCCACAGGGACTTGACCCGGTTTGCGTGCAACCCACGCAGCGCACCGGCCCACGAAGCGGCGGCCGCACCCGATCCGGACCCCGATCCCCGAACAGCCGCGCGCGCGCCGGGCGGCAGGTGCCCACCAACCAGAGGCGCCAGTTCACGCAGGGCCACAGGAGGCCCAAGCAGGGAGGATCCGGACGCGAACCTCGTATCAAATCCGCTTATGGGCAGCCGTCCTATAAGAGGCCTCGAGTCCGCCGCGCATCGCAAACCCGCGCCGGCCGCCGCCGCCTCCACCGATCGATCGATCGCCGGGAAACTGACCCCTGCCGCTGCTGCTGCGTTCGGAGCCTTCGTCGACGATGTCTGGAGCCGGTGAGGAGGACAAGAAGCCCGCGGAGGGCGGCGCCCACATCAACCTGAAGGTCAAGGGTCAGGTCAGCTCGCCGGCGGTTCCCCCTTCCTCATCTTCTTCCCCGCGGTTGGTAGATTAGCGCTGTTAAACCCGCCCCCTCGTAGCGATCGATCGTCGTTGCGCGGTGGTTTATCGGATTCCTAGGGTGCCAGCGATTTGGGATTACCGGTAGCGATGTCTCAGTTTTCTGCGAGCGAATGTTTGCCGATTGCGTTCGCCTATGTGCCCTAGGTCTCTCGGGTAGGGGCCCTCCTCGCATCACCGGTTCCTAGCGATTGACTTTTGTGTTGACCCGATTATATATTTGATTGTTCATACTTGCAGTACTAATTGTCTGAATAGGGCATCGATTGTTGATCATACAAACTGTACTAATTTCAATGCAGAATGCTCATATTTTATTTCGCTAGATTGATGTTTGCTAACAGCAAAGTTCAATAATGATATGCCTTACGTCTTGCATGTGACTCACATCTATTGCTAGTCAATCTGTACTGGGGTACTAAGGACACTGGCAGAATTCTCATCTTTAAAATTATAGTTGTATGTTTGTAACGGTTTAAGCACCAAGCACCATGAAGTTTGACAGTTTAAGCACCATGAAGTTTGTTATGATCGTGAGATTGTAGTAAGTTATATATGATAGCCGGAGAGTTGGAAAACCGTATGATTGTTGGTTGCTTTGTTCTCTGGTATTCATTTTTTTATCCCACATGATTCTGAATAGAGGATTATCCATAATTCTGTCCTAAGGTAGGCCTAATCAATAGAGGTTTATCCTGTAGATTTACAGGATTATACTTGTTTATACTGTTTTTTTTTTGTTGGGGGATATGGCTTGTATATGAGATGCCACGAGTTCAGATTGCTCATAATTGTCGGTAGCTTTCCTGGTCTTAATTATTGCAAAAGAATTGTTGAAGTTGCCTGACATTACTTTATTCTTAGTTTGCCATAGAACTTCTTGATGGTCTTTTATATAAAGAGAATTATGTATTTGGCACTAAAACAAATCGGTCTTTCATATTTGGCATTAGAAAATTTGAACTTCCTTATCTAGCATTGAGTTGGCCTCCTTTCTTTTTGGCATTCATGCAGCGCCATCTCCATCGCTTCAAGACCAATAACGATGTCAAGTAGGTTAGCAAAATGAGTATAAGATCATGCCCTTGATTGAAGCACAGCAGAAAGATCATGATTGGTACTCATCAATAGGGAAAAAATAAATAGACAAGTTGTCAAATAAGAAATATCATAAATATACTTTGAACCCAAAAATGTGGATTTTGATAATTGAAGATTCTGATGCAATTTAAATAAACAATAAATTTCAGCCTGCATGGTTGTACAAATTATGTGAGATGGATGGAGAGATCTTCCTTTCATCTGGTCTTATAGATCAAGGATGCAACCTAAATGAGATGATGTGGTTGGATGAAATGGCGGCAAATGAAATTTATTTTCATGAAATTTATCTTTTAGTTTTCTAAAAGAAAAAAAGAGAGATTTATGCGTTGTGTGCATCATAACATCATGGATGAAAATTTCGTAGAGCACAATAGGAAGGAAGAATTTGCCGGCGGTGTTGCATGGTGAAAAGGAAAGAAAGAAGATTTCAAGCGGTGAAAAGCTGGCGGTGAAAAGGAAACGATGAAGCGCTAATGGCGTTTTAAGTCGGTTAGTCACGCCGGTAATCAGCATCGAGTAAATCCTGCTCCTATTTAAGGAGCAAGGAGAGCATGCGTTTAGCTTTCCTTTGTCATCGCTTAAGACACCACGCCCGAGCCACATTTTGAATGGAGGAGTATTCGGCACTAAAAACAAATTGGTCTTTCATATTTGGCACTAGAAAATTTGAACTTCCTTATCTAGCATCGAGTTGAAATTTTCTTTTGTAAACGGTCATGGCGCATCCATTTAGACCCGTGGATCTTGTCAAGTGATTAGCAAAATGACATAAATGCCCTTGATTGTAGCAAAAGTCCATGGTGCTAAATAGGGAAAAAAATAAATAGACAAAGTTGTCAAATAAGAAAATCATAAATATCATAAATATACTTTGAACTAAAATGTGGATTTTGATAATTGAAGACTACAAATAAACAAAACAATAAATTTCAAATTGGTAATAGCGGTACAAATTATGCCCCTTCGCTCTTCCTTTCATCTAGCGCCCACAGATCAAGGATGCATGGCTGGGATGGTCTGGCTTTGGTTGAAATCGTAACTTATATTTTCAAGGTATTTATCTTTTAGTTTTCTAAAAGAAAAGGATAGTAGGATGCCGTCATCATAACATCATGGCTCGTAAGCGAGAGACACGCATGGCTCGATCGGTGTTTGAAGCGAGTATAGAGAGGGCATTTGGCGGCCCAAAAGCGCTTAAAACATGCCAGGTCGCATCGCTAGTCAACCACACCAAGCGCGACGGATGGATGCACTAAATGGACCGCCTCTCGTGCCGCCCGAGCCACATGGCCGGCGTCGAAAAGCTTAACTCCATCACGTCATCCAAATAAGAAAGTTCAAAAATTTTAGTGCTAAATAAAGAAGACTGATTTGTTCCAGTGCCAAATACATAATTCTCCCTTTTATATATCATGGCATTGAATTTATCATAATGAAATTGTTTTGATCTGTCAGTTGTATTATGAGTTATTTTAAAGGCACTGCACATTAGCTTGCAAGTTGTTTATATTCTCAGGACATTGGATTTTGCCTAATAAAATCTATTTGTGATCTGTAAGATGTATAATCAGAGTTATTTTAGAGGCACTATAGAGGGCATTTTGGTACTTCAAAAGAGAATTCTCAGGTAATACTAATCGACGGATGGATGTATTTGGGATATGCTGCTTGAGAAAAGTGCACCAAAAATGCCAAATCAGAAATTGAAAAATTTATTTGAGATAGTTCTAGGGTGTGTGCCAGTACTCCATTCCTTTAGTTCTAGGTAGTTTAATTTGACTGACATTTTGAAGTGTTTTTTATTTCTTTCTATGTTTTATGTGGTCTATCAAGGACTGTACACAGGTGACCTTAAATGATTTACTTGGGTTTTGTAGCTCCATTATATTTGCTAAAAATTTTCATTGCCTAATGTAAGTTGAGACATCTTTTAAGCATTGATCAAAATTTGAACTCTGTTTTTGAAAAAGTTGAAACTTATTTTAATGTATTTGAGTAATCGATTCTCTTTGGAGATAACAATATTGCATCATCAATTTACTGATTGAGCTGCTCTATGTATTGGTTCAACATTGCGGCATTTTACATGTCAGATTGTTTAGGTTACAATCTTCTGATATTTCTGTCCGTAGTATTACCTGTCACTTACTCTTTTCTTTATGATAATATATAGGATGGCAATGAGGTGTTTTTCCGTATCAAGAGGTCCACCCAGCTGAAGAAGCTGATGAATGCCTATTGCGACCGCCAGTCTGTGGACATGAATGCAATTGCATTCCTGTTTGATGGCCGCAGGCTTCGCGGCGAGCAGACCCCAGATGAGGTGCGTGGTGCTTGCAAACCCACTTTTCTTTCAGTATCTTAGCCCCTAGCATTGAGAGGAATCCTTGACTGATATTTCTTATGCCTGTGCAGCTGGAAATGGAAGACGGCGACGAGATCGACGCCATGCTTCACCAGACTGGAGGCAGTGTCCCCGGCGCCTAGATGCAGCCGTTGCGGACCCCCTCTTTTGTTGGGCCATGCTCCACCTTCCCTAGCAGTAAATTAAAGAAGTCTTTTTAAGGAACTTGTGATGCTCTGGCACCCTGTGCCATTGCTGAGGGACATCATTAGCCTTGTTTAGTATGGTTTAGTACTTTGGTCTGTCATGACTCGTTTATCTATCCCCTAATATATCCCGCCATGTTTGTACTCCCAATGATGCGCTGATGATTTGTTTTATTTTGCCTGCTCGAAGTGTGCTTTGCTTTACTGACCATCCCTTGCGACCTTGTCTCCTGGTCCTCTGTAGTACGTTTTGTGCACGGTGACAGGGCTGATGGTTTGTTTTGTGTTTGCCGTAGTGTAGGAAGCCGTGCGCTGCACGTGTCGTCTTAATGATTTCGATGCTAATGTTACCATGATAGCCTGGTTATAGAGAAATCAGGCAATGTCTGTCATGGCTTGTTTGCCATGATATGCTCTGGCTTTCGGCTGTATTATGCAGTGCTGCCCCTGCAAGTGAGGAATGATGATGCGGAGGAATTTTTTTATTAAAAAAATGGCTGTAGTGTGGAATGGAGTGGATTAATTAAGTTGGTATGGATGTGGATTACCCATTTTGGGTAATCCGGTAGATCTGTCACTACAATTGATGCTACACCTGTTATTTCTAATTGCACACCATTATATAAGCAATAAGCGCTAAGCAGTGATACATCCTCCATCTTAAAATATAAGGAGCTACATATACAATACTCTAGATTTGTTAAAGTGAATGCTCTAGATTTGTAATTTTAGAAAATTTTAATGTTCAAATTCTCGTTCCATCAATTATGTGATAGTAAAGACAGCACAGAGTCAAATTTCGGATGAGGATGACATGATATACTTTTTCGCCTTATATTTTGATGAGTCGGATATGATATAATTTATTTTAAGAGAGGTAAAACTGATGTCTGCGACTACGAGCCAGTGCATATGAATTGAACAAACGTTTAAACTCTCAACCCCATTGCTTATGAGTTGAACAAACTTTTGAACTCTTGATTGACAAGCACAGAGTCAAAGTATGATCCACGAAGTGGAGGAGAGAGAGGAGAGTTGGAAGGGATCAGAGTATGCAAAGAAGCCCAAATGGTTTTCCATCTTTTATTTGCTGATGATTCTTTAATCTTTATATGCATGCTGATAAAAAGAATGCTCACTGCCCCAATGGTTTTTCATCTTTTATTTGCTGATGATTCTTTAATCTTTATATGCATGCTGATAAAAAGAATGCTCACTTCCTGAGGAATCTATTAGACAGATATTGTCAAAACTCAGGCCAATTGTTGAGTGAGAACAAATCAAGTATTTTTTTTCTCTGGGAATACAGAGACTAGTGTCAAATTGGAGGTATGTGCATCTCTGAATATTATGAGTGAATTTCGGCTCGCCTACATTAGTGGGGGCAAACATAAGCGATTGTTTTCAGCATCTTATTGATAGAATTGTTCAGAGAGTTAGCGGACGGAAGGAGAATTTGTTAAGCATGGGTGGAAAGGAGGTTTTTATTAAATCCATTGCCCAAGCCATGCCAACATACGCGAAGGGATGACGGACGTTATATCACATTTTTTGTGGGGTGACAACAATGATCAGATAAGAATTCATTGGCAAGCCTGGTGGACATTGTGTACTGAAGGGTAAAGGCGGCATGGGTTTCAGGGACTTCCATAGCTTTAATTTAGCTATGCTTACAAGACAAGTTTAGAGATTGTTGTGTGATCCAGATTCCCTATGTGCAAGGGTCTTGAGAGCAAAGTATGCCTAGATGGTAAATTGCTCTAGGCAAAGATGAGAAGTCGGAGTTCATTTACATGGTAGAGTGTGCTAGCGGGCTTAGAATGTTTTAAAACATGGGTATATTTGGTGAGTTGGAGATGGCACACAAATAAACATTTGGGACGATAACTGGATTCTGAGTAGTCACAATAGGAAAGTATTGACTCTAATAGGTGATATTCTAGTTTCAATGGTGGATGAACTCAATAAGCCAGTTGATGATCGGTGGGATGAAGAGTTGATTAGATCCCTTTCCTGGTCTGTGGATGTGAATCGAATCCTCCAAATACCTATTGCTCCTAGACGCGAGGATTTGATCGCATGGCACTTTATCCGGAACGACTTGTTTCCGGTGAAATCAGCCTATCATTGTCAATGGAATCACAGTTTTGGGAACAATGTCCATCATGTAGCGGCAAGTGGAACGGATGCGACGTTAGTATGGAGGCAGTAATGGAATTTATCGCTTCCTAGCAAGATCAGAATTTTGGATGGCGTGTGCTTCATGGATGCATCCCGTGCTTTGTTACTTTGGCCAACAAGCATATTATAAATTCAGAAACTTGTCCTATGTGTCAATCAGAGGATGTTAGGCATGCGATGTTTGCTTGTCATCGTGCTAAAGAGGTTTGGAGTGCCCTTGGGATTGGGCAGGAGATCGAGTCGCTTCTAGTGGTGGATAGACGGGCTCGGTTATGATACAAGAAGCCATCAGACGGGTCAGATGGGCTATGCATTGGAGCAATGTTGGCTTGACGGAACTTATACTGACAAGGTGCTGGTATATCCGGTGACAGCAAAGACGAGCAATACATGGAGAAGACATTCAATCGCCACCAAGGTTGGCTCTGTCCATCGCAGCGATCACGACAAATTATAATTTGGCACCAAAGAAAACCGTTGTGATCAATAAGGGTTGGAGGAAGCCCCCCTAGGGTATCTTGATGATTAATGTTGACGTAGGCTTTGATGCGACCAAAGGATCATGGAGCATGGGAGCGGTTGTCAAAGACTCTACGGGCGGGTTCATTGCGGCTTCACACAATTACAATCCGCATGTGGTGGATGTAGCCATGACTAAAGCAGCAGCTCTGAGAGATGGACTATTGTTGGCACAACAGATCAATTCCAGTCGTATGGAGTCCAAGTCAGATTGTATGAAAGTCATCACAACAATGCATGGGGGAGGTTTTTTGGCCACGATAACAGGGACAATGTATGATGTATGGAAGTCGTCACACACAATAGTATCGGAAGGATTTTCATTTTATCTCTATTAGTTATTGTATCAGGGAAAAACTCATGAGCTAGCTATGCAAGCTTTGGTAGGCAAAAACTTTTTTTTTTGATAGATGAACCCCTGCCTCAGTTCGGCATTGCCTGTAAATGATGTAACTATTTTGTGAAATGAATAAAGCTTTGCCGTAAGATTTTTTTTTTAAAAAAAAAAACTTGACAACCATGCAATGATCAGCTGCTTGGAAGGGAGCTTATCAGCGCCTATCTGTACATACATGTATATAGGCAGCCTCAAGTCACAAACGCGCCTCGTGCAACTATAGGAGAGCCCGATCTTCTGCATACGCGTCGCACAGTACAGTGCTTCCCGCGATCTGACCCGACATGTGCAGTAGCGCGAAATTAAAGTTACCCACGCGGTTCACGAGAGCATGGTCCCGTCGGTAAACTCGCCGGTAAACAGATCTGCGATGTGATCCGTTCACTCCCATCGCTCCATCAGTTTATTTGAAGCCGTTGAAATTTAGCCATCTAAACCGGTCGCTAAACTTTAGCCACCCTGTATAGTTTGATGGACTAAAAGAGTCTTTTAGTCTTTTTTTTAGTCAGAGTGTTTAGATCCAAAGTGACTAAAATGTAAGGTAACCTGGGTTTTAGTCCCATTTAACAACCCTTTAGTAACAAATTAGTTAAATATCCATTTAATCCTATTTAATCATAGCATTTAGATAAAAAATAACTAAATAGAACTACAATTAGTCAGCTAAACTATAGCAGCGCAGCCTCGCGCATACGCCTGCACCTTTTTAGCAGTATTTTGACCGACCTGCGCAAGTAGATCAGTGCTCTACTTTGTTAATTAATTAAACTAATCCAAGCCGACGAATCAGAGGCGCCTGACATTCTTGGAATTTTACTGTTCCATCCATCCACGTTGTAACGGCCCCATGTGACAGAGAATAATAGGGTCTGTTCGGCAGAACTGAAAAATACTGTTCCGACTGATTGTTGTGAGAGAAAAATATTATTGACGTGAATAGTATTTCTGTGAGTGAGTTGGCCTTTGGTTTCTGCTGAATTTCAGCTTCTGCCTGTAACCGTAGCAGTCCAACAGAACGGGATAAGAAGCTCCCTACATGTGGGGGCCATGGAATAGATGGATCCACAGGGCCCACCTCCCAGTGTCGGGCTCGCTGGTCCTCCGTACCGTACCGTAGCAACGGACGGAGTGAGAGACTCGGCCGTATTCGTCTTGAATGCTCCGGATCACATGAACGCTCAGGGTCTGCAGTTAATGGCCACGATCTAACAGCCCCCTGCCCCCGCGCGCATTTACTGTAGCTCATGCCATCTCCGTTCTCCGCCGGGACAAATAAATTCTGTTTATTCATCACATATCATAATACTATCTTTATTATTTTCCTCTGGGTTTGGAAAATCCTCTTGGATTACTCGGGCCGGGGCGCCGGGCTTCCTTCCGGGGCAAGCTTTCCAGGCCCAGTCAATGGCTTCCCCGGCAATTTTCACGGCCTAGCGAGGGCCGTTCCTGCGAAATGGTCCGGTAACCACTTTAGATTAGTTATTAACTAAATCTTGGTTGGATAATCGCGTGGCGGGTATGGACCGGGACTAATTAGTCATAAGATAATCCGTGGCTTGCTCCTTTCGATTTTTTGTTTTCGCGGGGTTCCGTGCCGCTCTGCAGACTGTGTGCTGTCACATTCGAGAGAGAGAGAGAGAGAGGGTCAAGGATAAAAGCATCGTGGTTTTGTCTAGACAGCGAAAGGGACGGCAGAGGGCTGAAACCGTCTGCCTGCTGCCCAACACCCCGCGCCCCCCACTTCTTCCAGCAGCGCCACCTCCAGTCCAGTCCTCCTCCTCTCCACCTGCCCCCCTCCGGCGCGGAGAACCGACCGACCGACCAACCAGCCCGTCGTCGC